AAAAGGAGCTGATTGCGAGCTATTTGCAGTGGGCTAGGAGGAGGAACTCAAGTACTCTAGTTTCTTTGTCTCCCATCAAGCACCAATTACCCTTCAATAGTATTTAATTCTCCACACATCAGAGGTATCTATCTCCTAAAGACCCCCCCAAATGATACAAAAAAAAAAAGTCTAGAGAAAAAAAAATTAAAGGATGCATAACAGTCCAAATTCCCCTTATTCAAGATGTAAGACATTACAAAAATGCAGCCAATTGACAGGTTGCAATGGACTCTTCAGCACATGCGGAATGTGCTTGTCATGTCCCCCATGCAACCAAATCAAGACAGGAGGAGGCATTGTAAAATGGTTTCTAGATGTGCATTATGATGGGCTTTTAAACTCTAAATTAAAAAAAATAAAAATAAAAAGCTATGCCATACTCAACAACTCCTTGACTTCCACTTACATAGAAAGCACAGAATTATTTTAGGGGAGGGTTTTTCTTAGCTCAATGGTGGCCTTGGTGTTACTATAACTCAGCTTTTTGGTCACCAAAATAAGGGGTCCCCTCTTTGTGTCTAAACCTAATAAATGAGGTGAGATCATTGCCATTAAAAAACTCATTATGTGCCCAGTTACTGAACCTCATCACACCAAACAGGTGCATCTCTGGTAATATGTCTCTCACCTGCTCTCTTCCATTCTCAAGCAATTTTTTAGCCTGGTTTCCTTTCTGTGCTGCTGACAAAAGCATACCGTCAAAAACAACTGAAATCCGCAGTAACGTAAATGCTCTGACCTCATCTGTGTCCATGGACCCCCTCAGCACAAAATGACCCCAAGAAGAGGCCAGGTGTGTCCACCTGCAGCCTAGTAGGGCCTGGAAAGGGAAAAACCATCCTGGGGACAGTGAGCTCCAGGTGGTCCCCGTGCCCCATCTGGTACCCACCATGGTGAGTGTCCACCAGAGCTCCCCCATGGCCAACCATGAGGGTGCGTGGTGCTCCTTAGCTATTCACATCACAGCAGACACTGGTACTCGAAGCAGGGGGAGCACAAACCTCCCTCCCTGGGTCATTCCCACCTCCGTGCTTCCGCTCCCTAACAGCTCACTCAGGAGGGTCCAGGGCTACCATGTGAGACACAGGGGAAGGTAAAGAAAGGGCGAGAAGGTCCTGATGTGAAGTACACCTTTTGGCCACCTCTCCTCTACAGCTCACCCTGCCTGCAGGACAGATCCTGGACAAGAGGGCTCTGTGGCAAGAAGGGGCCTTTTCCCTTCCCCAACCTAGACCATGAGCACACATCTGGGCTGGTAACATAGACAGAGGACTCCACAGACTATTCTCCTTCCTCCCAGGGAGGGCTGCCCTGCTTTTCTTTCCTCCTCAGCTCTGCTCTGAAGCAATTTCAAAGTTTAAAGGAGATTAACTATCTTGGCCAGATGGTCACTTTCTGCATTTCTGTCTATATCTCAAAAGTGCCCAAAACGCCAGGTAGGCCCTCCGGTAAGTGAGAAAGGGCAATAACACACACCGGCTGGCCATCCTGAACAGCTGGGGAGTTCCTTTACAGGAGAAATACTCCAGGATGGTGAGTGCAAGGTCCTGTTGCTTCTCTAGCCGTTCAACCACCTACACATGGACAAGAAACACGTCTTTCCTTGTGTGTTTCTGTCTCACTGAGAAAATTAATTTTTCCTTTGGCAGATGGCTGACTCACAGAGACAGAAGGATTCATAAAATTCACATGAACATCCTGTAAACGTTTAAACACACACTGATTAAATAAGGAAACCATGACCTTGATTACTAAAGTAAAATCTTTTTTTTTTTTTTTAATGTCTACACCCCTAAGCCCTGCAATTTGGAGGCTCATCTTCCCACTGCTCTGGACATGCTCAGTTCTCAATGGAATAGCGTGGGCACGCGCAAGCACACACTGCTTAGTCCGTTTGTTTTAAGATGGGAAATAAAAGGCATCAGAGGAAAGCAACGACATGGAACACCTAAGCACAAAACTTTTACCAGTTCTCTACTAAACTGGATGGACTCTACAACACAGAGAACATCAACTTAAAATCAATGGGCAGAAGTAACAGGAAACCCATCCATTGGCCCTACTCTACTTCCCAACTAAATGTTGGAAAACATCCCCACCAGAGACCCCAGGCCCTAGCAAAACTGGGAGCTTTTGCCATGGTTGGAAATGCTGACCTGCAGAGGCTGCAGGATTTATTCGGGCTCACAAACAGATGGACAGGACCTGAGCCATGGCCTGCTGCTTCCGCCTGGCGCTCCATCCCCAGCATCCCAACATCAAAGCGGCTCCCCCAAGCCCCAACCATAATCAGTCTGTGAGATTAACACCGCCCTCCCACAGTGAGATTTTATGGCCCAAATCTGCCGCCACTGGGCTCAGCGGCATAATCGCAGCACCAGTTCAGAGCCAGGCTTCTCGAAGGCGGAGGCGGAGGAGCACTGTGGAACTCTGAGCTGGAGAGGTGGGGTATAGCTCTAAACATCTGGAGGTGGAGAAATACACGTGTCGGCTTCCCTGCAAGCTGTAGCTTTGAAGATTTTCCCAGTAGTGCTTGCTACCTGGTGTAAACTTGCCCTTTTCTTACAACGCTTTTTATTGCTCTTGGCTAAGAATACTGGACAGAGACAGGAGACCCGACTAGTAGGCAGGCAGGCAGGCAGGCTGCTTTGCAGGAGAACTTGAACTTGATGTGCATGAAGTTGACAATTCCTTGAAGGCCCTGTCGACCATCCATCCAGTAGATGCTGCCACTACCTGGAGTGAAAACAGCCCCAAACACAAAAGCACATAGAGGCTCTCTGCACCTGCCCTGAAGCCGTGGCTGGCATTATCACTGCACAATGAATCTCTTTTTGAAGTTGTTTTCCTGATGTTTAGCGGTTTGAATACTAATCCCCTTAACAAAACGGTCCCCTCCTCCCCCCTTCTTTCCTGCTCCCCTTAATCTCCTTCTCTCCAGGGAGGGGGGCGGGCACTGGACACCAGTCAGTCTGGTCGGCAGCACCTGGATTTGCATCGATTCCCTCTTCTTGTCATTCATGTTACCAACAGGAATTAGCATAAGGCATTAAGGGGGGGAAAACTCAGGAGGAGAAAAGAAAGACCATTTTGATGGAAATAAGGGGCAGAGGAATAATCTGCCATCAACTAAAATGCTTATTTGTGTATGGTTTCCCAAGCAAAGCTTAGAAAAAGCCTGTGTTGATTTTAGTGTACACAAAGAAACCTTAATCCTTTCAAGCCAACTAAATCACCCCAGAAAAGCAGCTCAGGAGAAAGGCACCCTGTCAGGGGGTGACTATTCACAACCAAATAGATGCCACAAATCACACTCTGTAAGTAAACACAAATAAGAATGTGGGAAACGTTTGATTGGGAAAGGGAGAGGGGGAGGGGGAGCAGGAGCAGGAGGGAGGGGGCAGAGGGGTCCCTCATCCATCACTCGCCACTTGCCCTGAAGAGAGCCTTTCAGCCCTGTGAGGGCAGCGGCCTGAATGCAGGTCTCGGAGCCCATTCTCACTCTAGGGCTCATCCCAGCGAGGGGAAACACATGCCAAAGCTTTATGCCAGCTGGCGGAAGACAGACACGGCGACAAGGTGCAGGAGGTCCCGGGAGGGGCTGGGGAGGGTTGTCACTGAAACACAGAAGATCTCCTTTGCGTGACCTGGCATGCCTCAGTCTCCTCCTCCTCCTGTCACCCCACCCTCTTTCACACAGACACACCCCGCTGTCTACTGATCTTCCCCCCCTCAGCCAAAGGAGCAGTAAACAATTACCCATTCTTACATACGAGCACTGGATGCCGTGAACGGCACGTATCTTCTTTTACTGGGCTTTTAGCATTATGGTTAACAACACATTGATACAAACTTTCAGTCCATCAAAAATATACGATTAAGTATAAAACTGGAACACTCCATTATGCAATAAAGAAGATAAAATTCAATATGACAATAATTCCGGGAGTAATAGCAATCACATAGGCATATACACCTCCAGGGAACTGTAAACATAATGCACTATTTAAAACTGCAGTTGGTTCCAATTCCAAAATAATCGGTGAGCTCAAAATAACCGAACTTGAAAATGTGTCTTTACCAGCTAGCAAAAAAAAAAAAAAAAAAAAAAAAGCTAGCCCAGGCAATGACGGAATGCTGAAGTGGTTTCAAATTTCACTTTATGAAGGCCCAACTCTGCGCAGGCACTGCCAATTTCTGCCAGGTAACACAGGAGGGATTCCCACAGAAAGCACATCTCCGTTTAGCAATTACCACGCAAGCACCTGTATCTGATTCTATTATAAATCTAATTTATATCTTTCAAATCATACATCTTTGCAAAGCCCGTGATTAGACACTCTTAAATTTCATTTTCCCCAGCAACACTGCTGCAATGAAAACTGCTCAGAAACCTATTTGCAATAATAGATAAGTTTTCCCTTAATGTACTGCTGTATCGTTAGCCTCTCTAACTCTACATTGCGGTTTGGAAGAAATTAAAGGGATAGCACATATTTAGATTTTGCCCTCTTGCTCTTTTATTAACTTTATAGAAGGCCCTCAGCAAAGTAAGGCTTGGTTTATGACCACAATGCTGCGACTATAAACATCCACTGGTTATTAGAGTCTGCAGTACAAATTGGCTCTTTATAGTTCTCCGACTGCTGGATAGTTGATAAGTAACAATACAGTTAAAGTGTTTTGACTTTAATTTAATGCAGAAATCACATAAGTAGTAGTGATTTCTTACTCAGATCCATTGAGATAAGGATTCAAGGTATTCTTTAAAATAAACTGTAATGTATCACAAAAGAACACAGAGTCCATCTCAAGCAAAACCACAAAATATGAACAGTAGTTCCAGAATGAAAAAAACAAAACAAAACAAAAACCGTTGTTTTTTATTCTTTTTTCCTAGGCAATGACAATAACACAAATATGAAAATACATAAATCATGGCTCAGCACTAATCTTACCTTTGTTTACAATAACGGTATTGAAGAGTTTTTCAGAGCTGGCATCTGATGCCTGGAAAACAAAAAGGGGGGAAAAGTGTTAATATTGTCATTAATACAGTCACCATCATCATTACTATTTTTTTAAATCAAGTTACTACGTTTAAAAAAGGCCTAAGCGGGAAAACAGCAATTCCCCCAACTTTCCATAAGGTGGTGCTAGTTAACTGCCTGAGAGAGATCTGCAGTGCAGTTATTTGCTGGAGGGGAAATCTGATTTCAAAAATGTGTCCTTATTAGACATATTATCTGTGCAAAACATATTTCTGAGATGATACACAAAGCGATTCAGCTCACTCACATAATGATTTTGCAATTTTGTTGTCAGATCATTATTTTGGAAATGGTATTTTTTCATATTTGCACACATCCATTTTTCAATTTCCTTTCACAAACCACAAATGCCCATTATTTAATGCTAAGCCTTTCCTCACTTAAAAAATGTCAATTAGCGCCCCCAGAAATTAATTTTTAAATATTCATCTGATGGCTCCAAGATCCCTGTCCCTTAATAGTAACCAGGATGACCTTGGTGTTAAAACCAAAGCAAGCTGATCTACTCGCACACCCTACACTGTACATGCCATCAGCATAATTTCCTTTGCATTTTCCTAGAGACCATGTCTGCTAATTATTACCCTGGCTTGAGGAAAATGAAATAGGCCTGTTTAAACAGCCAAAGTAAAGGCAATTTAAATTATACACTAATGTTCTGAGAAATAAACATGAAATCAGTTTGGAGGAAAATACTATCATGTTTTGGAAGCACTAAATATGTCTAGAACTTGAAAAATTAAAAATTAAGCACCCTCATTATATAATACGAAAATGCATCTGAACTTAAAGTTACAATGGCTATGTTACATTTATACTGTTTTGGCTACTCAATCCTTGCAAGAAATCACTTATTCTGTTTATAGAAATGCATGTTTGACAAAGCAAAGCATAGAATGCTGAATAAATAAGAAAGAAATATAGAGAACAGATGAAAGGGAATCTGAGGTACAGCATATTCTGGCTTTTAGAGACAAAGAAGATATTCAATTTAATTTTTTTAGGTTATGTTGATGAAGATGAGAGAATGATTCCTGTGTACATCTGGGGACCATGTTCTGGTTCTTACAGCAAGGGATACAGGAAGACATAAAATATTTTTTTGACTACTTTTCCCTTTATTTCATTCTAATCTCCCAACTGTAGTGGTGGTTCAGAAGATTAACAGATCAAGAAGAAGAAAAAAAAGAAGCTATGCAAAACAAGTGAAGTGCATACATATATAAACAGTTGAATAAATCCTAGATAGACTTTTCCTCTTATTTTGCAGGAGTGATAAAAAAAAAAAAATCCAAAGGCTTCCCTGAAATCTTAGACAAAATTGTGTATCACACTATCTTTTAATAAAAATAAACTGCCAAAAAAACTGTTGCACGGAGAGGGGAGATAAGATATGCATTAAACAGATCAAGAAGACTGGATTACAAAAGCAAAAATCATGGGGATAGTCTTGTTAAACTGTAGCATTAAGAGAGATTTCTAGGAATATGAATTTCCCAGATAAAAACTTAAGAGATTCTTCAGTAATAAGTATCTCTTGATTCTAATTGGGATGGCTAGGTTACATCATGGCTTAAAAAATTAAATTCCAGCTGGTATTTTTTTAAAGAAAAAAAGTCTGTTAACTAAATCATTTCACCAGACTGAAATAACCCTTGCAGATTTAGGGAACCACTTATTACAATGAACCTTAACTGGCTCAGAAAAATATAAAAACAAATTGCTGCACCCCAAATGCAAAAAGCATTAGTAAGGAAAGGAAATGGTTCCTGGTTGTGTTTTTTGTTTGCATTTGGGTGTATGTACACGACAGAGAGGGAATAGGATGGCAGCTGGAGGTGAAGGTGAACAGGCCTCTGGCTGCCTTTCACACCCTCCTCGGGGCTGCCACCTTTGTCAGCTCCAGGAGGCGATATGCTATCTCCTCAAATAGGTGGTTCAGGGAACTTAGGTCTGAAGCAAACTTCGATGTGATTACTTAGGATGCTCACTCCTAAGTTAAGATGGAAATAAGTCTGACAGGATATTCAGAGAGGCTTAGAAGGATACCTTCTACTAAGAGCTTTTTGAACCCTTTAATTTTCTGACACACGTTACAAAGCCTGAAAGGATACTCTTGCAACTGGGGGAGGAGTTTCTCAAAAAGGCCTCGGAAGGAAAGGGATGGCCATGGGGCTTTGGCCGGACAGAAAATGATTCCCGACCCCTTCCCTCTACCATACAGCTGGTTAAAACCTCGGCAATCCACTGCCCTGGAAAGTCAGAAAGAGCTTCTCGGCCGAAGCCTTGCGTGGAAACTACAAGGAAATTCTTTGCTTTTCCACCACAAACTTTCCAAATTCCACTTTATGCTTTTAAAGCATTTGTTCCAATTATTGGGCTCCTTGGGTTTTAATCTTTGGGACGTTTCGTTTTGTTTTTAGGAAAAAAAATATCTTCAATACCTTATTATATTACCTAGACCATTTTCCTGGCTGATTTTTTTTTTTTTTTTAAATCAGAAACGACAAATGGAAACGTGGTGAGCCGAGAGTTAGCAGAGGAGCGGAGCCTTTTCTTCTCTCCCTCTTAACGCGGGGAACATTTACAACCTAAAGACCTTTATTAAGATTTTGCTCGCCATTTCGTTTCATCTCCCTCACTTGGGATTGGAGGTTGAGGGCTTATAGTGGCTACATTTAAAAATTGATACACCCCATCCCCCGCCCCCCCCAAAAAAAGCTTTTTAGTTGCTTTTTTATTTAGAGGGAGACGCAGATGTGTTTTTTTTTTTTTAATACTTAAAAATGACTAAGCACCGTAGTTGTTTAGAGAAAAGTTGAATAAGTCAAACAGATTGAAGGAAGGAACACAGATAATAAGGAGGGAAAGGAATCAAAGCCTGTTAGTGCCGGAGGCGGGTCGCAGCCGCCTGGCTTCGGGGTCCACCTCCTCCGGCCGAGGGCCGGGGAGACGGCCCTGCGCGCGGGCAGGAAGAGGGACTTCTCAACAAGAGAAAGAAACCTCCTCGAAACTTAAGCGCGAGTTCTGTCCCCACGGCCGCCGCCGATCCGAGCCCAGATCCCCTTTCGCTTCCTCTCGACACCGCGTGCGAGCCGGGATCCCGACCCCGGCGGGGGGACCGCGGGGGGAGCCCAGCGCCCAGGTCTCCGGCCCCAGCGGCCCGGCCCCGGCCCGGCCTGGGTCCGGCGGAGCTCCTGGGGCGGGGGAGGCGCTGGGGCGTCTCCCGCCTCCGGACCGACGGCGAAGCTCCCGCCGCCCGCTCCCGGCCCGAGCCCGCCGGCCCGGAGGAAAGTACAAAGGCGGCGCCGGGCGGCGGAGGGAGCGCGGGGGAGGGGGGAGAGGAAGGGGCTCGGGCGCGCCGGCCGCGAGGAGCCGCCCAGCCACCCCGGCCCGCGGCGCTCGGCCGCCGCCAACAAAAGACCCCCGACCCCGCCGGCCGCCTCCCTTCCGACCGCGGGCAGCGGGCGAGGGGGCTGCGCCCCGATGGCTGCATTACCTGTTCGCAAAGGGTTAAGCGGTCCTGACAGCCCCAAGTTCATGGTTGGGTTCCCGGGCGGGGTTCACCGAGGGGGATCGGATCGTCCAGGACCGGGGCACAGCCGGCCACACACGCGGAGAGAAAACGCCCCGCTCCGCCCGGGCTGCGTCCGCGATTCTCCCTCGTGCGGTCCTGGCGGAGTCCGGGGCGGACGGAGGAGTCAGATCCGTTCGGGGGCGCCGGCCTCGGGCGCCGGCAGCCGGCTCCGTGCGCACATCCGAGCGCGGCCGGGCCGGGCGGGCGGCGGCGGCGGCGGCGGGAGGGCGCGCACCGGCCCGCGGCCTCGGGGTCGCTCCGGGGCGCGCGGGGCCGGGGCCGCTGCGGAGACCGAGGAGCGTGCGGGGCGCGCGGGCGGGCGAGGCGGCGAGGAGCGGCCCGAGCCGCGGCCGCGGCGCGCGGAGCTAAGAGCGAGGCGGCGGCGGCGGCGACAGGACAAAGGAGACCATGTGCGGAGGGAGGGAGGAGGGAGGAGGAGGAGGAGGAGTAGGAGGGCGCACCGCGGCGGCGGCGGCGGCGGCGGCTCCCAGGCGGCAGCCTCGGGCTCACCGGCTGCCGGCCCGCCTCTCCCGCAGCGCCACGGGCCGCCGGGTCCCGGTCCCGCCGCCGCCGCGCCGGAGGAGAACGCTCCGGGAGTCTTTATTTTTGGCCGATTGCAGCGGCGCGGGCGCCAGGCGGGCTGCGCGGGACCGCCGGCGCCTCCCGGCCGGGGCTGGCGGGCGGCGGCAGCGCCCGGGCTGGCTGGGCTCCGGCCCGCGCTCCGCTCGCCTGCCTCTCCCGCCGGCTCCCCGCTCAAGTGAACTCCATCGGCGGCCGGCGCCGCGGGCTCCCAGGCTGGACGGGCGTCGGGAAGGGGCGGCTGCGGCGGCACCGGGGCCCCAGGCTCCGGACTTCGCTCCCCGATTGCGCCGAGCGCGCCTCCGCCAGCCGCTCGCAGCCCTCGGAGCGGGACTTGCTCGGGGCGCGGAGCCGGAGCAGCCGGAGCAGCCGGAGCAGCCGGAGCGCCGGTGCCGCCGCCCCTCCCCCGGCCCGCCCCGCGCGCCCCGCCCCTCGCGGCCCCTCCTCTCCGCCGGGCGCCGGGTCCGCCAGGCAGGGGCGCAGTCCCCGGGCGCGACAAAGACAGCTGTCGCTCCCCGCGGCCCCGCGGCCCCCGTGGCCCGAGGTCCCCAGGCCGCCTTCCTGGCAGAGACGCCTGGCGGGAATTGCAACTCCCCGAGCCTTCCCTGCCGCGGCGGCTTCCAATATCGCGCCGCAGCTGGGGAAGGCCCCTAGGCCCACAGCTTGGGGTGGAATGGCAACGAGGCCAGCTACATACGCACAGAGCAAGCTCTCTAAGGCCAAGAAAGTGATGTGTGTGAAACACGTGGCGCATAGTAGGTGCTCAATCCAAAATATTAAGTACATTGTCGAAAACGGAGGGG